ACATTTAACATTGGTTTTATACTCAGAACAAATCTCCTTTTGGAGTGACCAGCCCCGTAGCTAGGGAATTTTTTTGGGAGGAGGCCTCGGGGGTCCCACCAGCTAATTAAATGGAAGTACAGTGCAGGTGGTAAGTTGGAGCACTTTGGGGGCGGCCGGGAGTGAGGGGGCCCAGAAGAAACACTAGGGGGCCAGGCCCCGTGGGCCCCATGTTGGCTACGGGCCAGAGTCCTGGCCTTTTCACTTCGCTTTATATTGAACTGCTCAGTTTCACTACAGCAGCCGTTCTAGGATTTAGCGACAGTGCGGCGTAATGGTCGGAGCAAGAGGCCAGGGGGAGACCTGGGAAACTTGCGCCGCCACCTTAGAGGAGTGACTGACGGCAGAGATCTGGCTGCTTTGCGAGGTTGGCGTGAGGTTAACGTGGAAGAAAGGAGGCTCGCATACAGACTGTCCCCCCGAGCTCCATAGACGAAAGGCAGGATTAAAAAATGCAGCAGAAAGATATAATTCTCTACGCACCTCGGGATCGTCGCAAATCAGCCTATTAGAATCTTGCACGAATAAACATGCAAAGGGAGAAGAAAAGGAAACAAGCCGCCCAACGTCGCCAGGACATCAAACAGCGACGCAGAGAAGCAACTGCAGAATGCAGCATTCGTTTAAAACACCGGTCGGCGGTTTCACTCGTGTTAGTTGCCTATCCTCACGTGTCTTCTTTCTCTCCTCCCAGGAAGCAAACGACAGAGGAAGAAAGGAGGGGATTGCACTTTGCAATTGGCGACATGGCTTCCTGTTTCCTGGCCCTCGTGGGTCTTCTTAAAGAGACATTAGCCCAAAAGTCTGCAAGCGAAATTCGTGTTTTTTAAATGCGTCTCATCAGGACCTATCCTATTCCTGGCCACCAGATGGCGCTGGCGGAGCGCGGCGAAAACAAATAGGAAACTAATTCCCAGAAGGCGGAGAAGGGAGCCGCTGTTAATGTCTTGCAAATGTGTCCCTACCAGCGCCCTTATTCCGTTAACTGATTGAAGCCTCTTCCTGTAGGAGCAAAATAGTAAAGAGCCTGGTAGTAGCACCTTTAAGACTAACAAACTTCACCATAGCATAAGCTTTCGAGAAACACAGCTCTCTTCGTCTCTGATGCGTCTGACGAAGATATCTGTGTTTCTCGAAAGCTTATGCTATGATGAAGTTTGTTAGTCTTTTTTGTAAATGGATTTTTAAATTATTTTCTCTTAAAAGGGTGGGATAAAAGGTAAAGGTTCCCTTGCTCGAAAGCCAGTCGAATCCGGGTTGCGGTGCAAGCCGAAGGGCCAGCGCTGTCTGAAGACGTTTCCGTGGTCATGTGGCCGGCATGACTAAACACTGAGGCGCACGGAATGCTGTTACCTTCCCACCAAAGTGGTACCTATTTATCTACTTGCAATTTCTTGCTTTTGAACTGCGAGGTTGGCAGGAGTTGTAACTAGAGACGGGAGCTCCCTCTATCATGCGGCACCCGGGTCTCAAACGGCTGAACTACTGACCTTCCACAGCCTGCAGTTCAGCGTCTTAACCACTTCAGCCACCGCAGCTCCTTAAAAGGGTGGGATACAGAAGGGAAAAAAGGTAGGGGAGAAATATAGATGCATCAAATTTGTATAGTGAAATGAATTGTTAGGTACAACAAGTAACATTAGATCTATTACCAAAGGTGTTACATGTTTCAAAAATAAAAGCTAACAATAAAACTTGAATATTACAAAATTACAGAATTTGGGATACATTCTCTCTTTAAAGTTTGTTAGCCTTAAAGGTGCTCCTGAGCTTTTCACTATTTTGCAGCAACAGACAAACGTGGCTCACGCCTCTGGATCTATGTGTAGGAGTAGTCTACCTTAAGATTAAAAAGGTAAAGGTTCCCTTGCTCGAAAGCCAGTCGAATCCGACTCTAGGGTTGTGGCGCTCATCTCTGTTTCCAAGCCGAAGAGCCAGCGCTGTCCGAAGACATTTCCGTGGTCATGTGGCCGGCATGGCTAAACAGCGAGGCGCACGGAACGCTGTTACCTTAAGATTACTGAATACTGAATGATGAACTTTCAACTCTTACGAGAGACCCAAGAAGACTGAAATCAGCCTAGACCAGGAACAGATATTTCTTCCCATCCATGGTTGCCAACTCCAGGATGGGAAATATCTGGCGATTTTGGGGGGGGGTGGAGCCTGGGGTCTGGGGAGGGGAGAGACCTCAGCAGGGAATCTTGCCATGCAGTCCAGTTTCCAAAGCAGACGTTTCCCCACAGGGGAACTGATCTCTCTACAGAAGAAGAAGAGAAGAAGAGATTGGATTTATACCCCGCCCTTCACTTGGAGTCTCACAGCGGCTTACAAACTCCTTTCCCTTCCCCTCTCCACAACAGACACCCTGTGAGGTGGGTGGGGCTGAGAGACCACAAACTGCTCTTTTTCAAGGACAGCTCTTATCAGAACTACGGCTTGCCCAAGGTCACACAAGCAGGTGCAGCTGGAGGAGTGGGGAATCAAACCTGGTTCTCCCAGATTAGAGTCCGCGAACTTAACCACTACACCAAACTGGCTCAACAGATCAGTTGTTATTTCTGAAGATCTCCAGGCTTCCGGTTTTTCCCGGAAGTGATGTAATGGCACTCATTGTGTCGCCCCCCCCCCAAGACTCTGCTCCCAAACCTCGCACCAGTTACCAGGCAGTGTAGGGTGGCCAGGTAGGGAAGGCCTGGCCCAGCAACACAGCACCATCACTTCCGGCACCCGCCGTAAGTAGGGTTGGCAGTCCCCAGGTCCCAGCTGGCTGGCGGCAGGCAGAATCCCCCAAAAGAAAGAACCCAACCCTGTCAGGCCGCTGGCTGCCATTACTGTACATCAGGGGTCCTTTCCTACAGGAGCGCACAGGAGCGGAGCTCTGGCAGTCAAGAGCCCAGGGGGCGGGCACATGCAACAAGCCCCACCCCCTGCTCCCAGCCGCCCTCAGTCAGAGCAAGAAGCAGCCAGGTAAGTTGCAGAACCCCTCCCCCCGGTCCAAAACAGTCCAGTGGCACCTTTAAGGCCAAGTTTTATTCAGGTACAAGCTCTCCCTCCTCTGCGAGGACAGATCTGCATGTCCCCCCCCCCAATAGCTAGCCATCCAAAACAGTCCAGTGGAGCCTGAGCGGTGGGTGTTGCCTTCTGACACACTTCCGGTGATGTCAGGGGTGTGTGGCATATGCAAATGAGCTCCTGCACCTCTTTTTCTACGAAATTACCCCTGCTGCACATGATATGTTGAAAGGCAGGCCTCAGTCTCCACCTCCTCACAGGGCTACAGAAAGCCACCTTCAGCCTTTGGTGGAACAGAGCCTGAGCTCCTTGCCAATGCTCCCTCTAAGCTGTAGAGTCTTGTGAGTGAAAATTCTACTTTGTGAGCTGCCGGCATTAAAGTTGTGAGCCAGCAATTTGGCTTCTGCATAAATTAGTTTGCTCTGGAGCCCTCCTTCCTGAGCCAAGACAAAAATGTGTGAATCAGAGGTGTGGAGCTCACACTAACTCAGCTCAGAGGGAACACTGCCGTGTCGGTCCCAGCAGCCCCAAACCACTCACACATCAGCTTGTAGACCACAGTCTCTGTGCATTGATGTCAGGAAGGGGCATGGTTGGTTGTAATCTGGTGTAGTGGTGAAGTGCGCGGACGCAAATCTGGGAGAGCCGGGTTTGATTACCCACTCCTCCACTTGCAGCTGCTGGATGACCTTGGGCAAGCCACAGTTCTGACAAGAGCTGCCCTTGAAAAAGAGCCATTTCTGTCAGAGCTCTCTCAGCCCCACCTCCCTCACAGGGTGTCTGTTGTGGGGAGGGGGAGGGAAAGGAGATTGTAAGCCGCTCTGAGTCTCCTTTGGGTAGTGAAGGGCGGGGTAGAAATCCAATCTCCTCCTCCTCCTCCTCTTCTTCTTCTTCTTCGGCATCCATTTTCTCCAGGGAAACTGACCTGTAGTATGCAGATGAGCTATTTTTTAAAATTTATTTATTTTTATTTATACCCCGCCGTCCCCACATAGCTGGCTCAGGGCGGGTTCCATCATACCAAGTGAAGAACAGGAAACCAAATCCTCCTTCATTGAGTGGGAGAGCCAGTTTGGTGTAGCGGTTAAGTACGCGGACTCTAATCTGGGAGAACCGGGTTTGATTCCCCACTCCTCTACTTGCAGCTGCTGGATGACCTTGGGTGAGCCGTAGCTCTGACAAGAGCTGTCCTTAAAAAGAGCAGTTTCCGTCAGAGCTCTCTCAGCCCCACCTCCCTCACAGGGTGTCTGCTGTGGGGAGGGGAAGGGAAAGGAGTTTGTAAGGCGCTCTGAGACACCTTTGGGTAGTGAAGGGCGGGGTATAAATCCAATCTCTTCTTCTCTTCTGCTGGTACATTTCCTAGTTCTACTGCTTTGGGTTGTCAGATCCAGGCTGGGAAATTCCTGGAGATTTGGGGGCGGTGCGTGGGGAGGCCTGATTTGTGCAGGGGAGGGACCTCGGTGGGATATAATGCCATAAAGAGTCCCACCCTCTGAGGCAGCTATTTCCTGACCTCTGTGGTTTGGAGGCAGGGGTTCCCAGACCTCCAACTGGGTTGATTTCAGGAAGCCCCACCCTGAACAGCCCCCTCTGACATCAACGTGGTCGGCGCAATGACGTCACCCAGAAGTGACATCGTCACGCCGGGCATGCCACCCTGGCGTTTTGCCCAGAAACTCTATGGTTGCCTTCTATGGTAACCATAGAGTTTCGGCCAAAATGCTAGAGCGTCGACACGTCAACGTGCCCGGCACACGCACGAAGACTCTAGGATGGACTGGGAGGGCCCCCCTCCTAAAATCCAGGTAAGACCTGGCAACCTTATCCAGAGATCAGTTGTAATTTTGGGAGTTTTCCGGGCCCTGCTTGGAAGCCGACAACTCTGTGAGTGAGCTGGGCACTCCCCAGACACGGAAACAATTAACACACACACCCCGCCGCCCACCGCCTTCTTTCTGCTTTGCAGTATAAAAGCTCTTTTTGCAAGGATTTGGCTGTCGTATTTGGAAACCGGGATCTTTTCCAGGGCTATTTGTCCCTGGGATTTCCAGCTTGGGTTGCCCGTTTGAAAGGAACCACAGGACCCAAGCGGAATGGCACCGGAGGTGTGGCTCCTGGGGGGATCTAGAAGATCACGGGCAGACTCAGAACAGAGTTTAGGAGGCGAGGGGCGGAGCCTTCCCAAATCCGGTGGGAGATTTATTTATTTTGGTCCGGACTTCGGGCTCCGATACAGAGACCCTAAATATGGTTTTGTTGGTTGGGCCAAAGCTCCGCTGCATGTTTGGAAACCTTGCCTCTTTCTTGCCAGAGGACTAAATTGCTAATTGCGGTTTCTCAAATTAGCGTTCTGTCATCCTTTGTTCTCCCACCCCGGGCAGCCTTGTGAGAGAGGCGGGATTGTTTCTAGTGTCTTTGCCTCCCCCCCGCCACAGCTGATATCATGATAATTGAAGGTTTGCCTTTTGGGTGCCCACGTTGGTTCCTCTTGTTAACATTTGGCCGTCCCGCACGAAGAGGAACAAGGAGCTGCGGTGGCTCAAGTGGTTAAAACGCTGAACTGCAGGCTGTGGAAGATCGGTAGTTCAGCAGTTCGAGACCCGAGTGTGCCACATGACGGAGTGAGCTCCCGTCTCTAGTTCCAGCTCCTGCC